CATGTTTCCCAGTCATAGGACCTGCAGATCCTCATCTTAGGGACATGGAATCTCTTCCTAGAAGTAGAACTCCTTCGACTGGAGAAAAGCACCACCTCAATCTCTAAGCTTTACAACAGAAAATAAGATTTTCTTTCCTGTTTTGCCCAGGTGGCTACAGAATGAGATACATGAATTATATGAATAGTCTGATTAATACCGATAAGGGTAAGTTCACTCTTTCCCTTAGTTTACAAACATTGTCAAACTTTCCCACTCTCTTAAAAAAAAATTCTCTGGGGCCCCTGGGTGGCGCAGTCGGTTAAGCGTCCGACTTCAGCCAGGTCACGATCTCGCGGTCCGTGAGTTCGAGCCCCGCGTCAGGCTCTGGGCGGATGGCTCAGAGCCTGGAGCCTGTTTCCGATTCTGTGTCTCCCTCTCTCTCTGCCCCTCCCCCGTTCATGCTCTGTCTCTCTCTGTCCCAAAAATAAATAAAACGTTGAAAAAAAATTTTTTTTTTTAATTCTCCTTTACTCTTGAGTTAGTTTCTTCACTGCCCACCTTTCTCCTTGCCAGGGTCGCCAACATTCCTTGCCACCTTAACCCCATAAAATCTGGTTTCACGCCTCAGCACCTACTTGAATGTCTCCTCTCAAAGATCACCAATGGCTCTCTGGTGTTTTTCTTTCTTCAAGTCCATCAGGATCTCCTCAGCACTTATCCAAGATAGGGATCCATCTTGGATGGGGAGGGAAACACCCTCCTTTTATTGCTATGGCCAGTATGCTCAAGGTTCTTTTTCCTAATTCTTGAATATACTCTCCCTCCTTGCTAAATATGACCACTCCCCAAGAATGTACCCATGGCCTCTACTCTTTCTATTCTCCCACTCTTTCCAATCCCATTAAGTCCATAACTTCAGCTCCCCCTTTGGGAAAAGACTTCCAAAGCTAGTTATCTTTTACCCTGACACTCTCCCAGCTCCAGGCTGCAGCCTACCCACTGCAATCCTCTCCCCAGAGAAATCCTGCCAGACCACCAGCAAACGGACCCAGACACTTCTTCATATACCCTCTAAAACTCTTGTCCTATCTCACCACCCCCCCCCCATACCTACAGCTACTACCCACCTGCAGGTACATCCTCCCTTCTCAGAACAGCCACCATCTTTCGCTTCACCCCTCATCACAGACAACCCTGTCTACACTGTAGTGTGGCCTCCTGCTAATAGGTCGCATCTCCCAGGCTAACCTGTAAACTCTCTTATTGCAAGACCAGTCCTTTGGCTCTGCGTTCCACAGTGCTTTGCACATAGCAGGTGTTAAAAGAATGAATGAAAACATCCTTAACCACCAAACCTCAAATGAACAAAGTATGTTAATGTTATAGTAGGCAACACTCTTCAGTGTTCTTTTATCATCTTTCACTCTAAACAACTATGTACCAGGTACATAGGTAGACGCTGCAGATAACCGGGTCACTGTTATTAGTACTTCTGCTTCTACTAATATTACTGCTAATACCGCTGCTATTCCTGTGTCAGGCACCATGGTAAGTATTTACTGGGATTACAACATTTAATCCTAACAACCACCCTGGGAGAGAAGTAACATTTTCCCCCCATTTCACACATGGGACAACTAACAGAGGAAAGCTGAGTGACTTCTCTGCCTTCAAGGAGCTCTTAGCTCAGCAAAGGAGGACGGGTCCTGGGCACATGGTTACAATGTGCTGGGCACTATGAAGGAAAAGCATGGGATATAATAGGAATTCATAAAAAGGGACAAAACTCAGACCAAGGGCCAGAGATGCTTTCCTGAAGAAAACCGTGCTTAGGTAGAAATCCGAAGCACAAAATCAGAATAAGCCAGCAGTAGAGTAAGGAAGAACAGACTGTTTCAAGGGGCCAGGCTTGCCCTGGGAACTCATGGTCCCACAAGAGGCTGGGCACTGATAATGGAAAAAGAATGCTTTCCTAAACAGAACACCCATCCCCTGAAATCTTCCTGTGCACTGGAAGGAGAGAAAATCTGCCCTGGCCTGCCTGGGGCACTGGGAACTAGGACTCACCTACCAAGCATAGTTCCTATTTTCCATTTACATTTAAACACAGGATGTTGAGATGCACATATAATCAAATCCCTTATAGACTCCTGCTTTAAAAAATCCTGCAGGGGGCATATTTTTTAGAGAACTTAACCACTAAGTATTAGCAACATATAATGATAATTGGTACAATAGATTCCAACTTACCAAAAATGCAGAAACTCTCCCAGAATACCACAAAAAGAATTCTATGCCATCAAGTCTAAGAGGTTTTGTCTCAAAGACAGGCAATAATTATGATCTAATGGCAGTAAGTTATTTAGCCAGCTCATGCAATGGGGTTACCCTCTCAACAGAATAAAATATATATTTTTTTAATTTGCAACCACCTGAGACAAAACTCCCTGGTGTTTTTCTTTTTTTTTTTTTCTTTTTTTTTCTTTTTTCTTTGCCTGCAACAAAACAGAATCATCCAAGCCCTTTCTTGTCTATCTAAATTTTTGTGTCTTTACCATAGCTCCAATGTACTATAAATATACAGCTTTTGTGACATAAATGCAAAGTTTTATTGTGCTGTTAGCCTTGATAGAAAGCACTGCAGAAAGTTGTTTAGAAATTAAATATCTAAAACAAGCTATTTTAAAATCCAGGGCCCTCACTATTTCATGTCTGCAATGAAGAAATTTCATCTTGGGGAGAGCAAGCTGTCTTTCACACCATATGGCTAATGGTGGTGCATAGCAATTAGCCAGGCTGATTAATGGTGAACAGACTCTAATTTTATGCTTATAATTGAGCCTGCATTTGCACCCCTGGTGCAAATTCAGCACATCCCAACTTCCACTTACAACAGGCAAGAAATCAAGAGAAATAGGATGGTGTGGAAAGTGAGAATTTTTTTCCTAAAGCCCCCTAAAGAGCATCAGATTTGCAATTTAAAAGACTGTTAGCCACACAATAGATGACAGGTTTGTGTAATAGGGTCATGGCGGCCTGGTAAACAAACAGTACCCCTTACACATCTATAGGCAGCCAGGAAAACTGTAATCTGTAACATTAGCAGGATGACATTTTGAATATGGCTTTTCCCTCTTAGCCCCGCAGTACAAATATCATCATTTGCCTTCAGTGGCTTGAGAGTTTTATTTTTGCTATTTTTATGTTTCTGAAAAATAGAAAGAACATCAGCAGTAAAGCACGCCAACCAGCATAATAAAGTACTTTGGACCAATGAATTTTAAGAACAAGAAAAATATAAACTGCATTAATAGAGGGCAGGCTTATGTGTGAAAGGCATAATATATCTTTAAGTATTTTAAGAATAGAATTATTTCCAGCATAGTCCAAACATGTACAGATATGAGATGCAAATCTATGATACGTAGACATTAGTTGGCTTATTGTTCGAGATCCATCTTTCTGCCTGTCCCTTATTTGCTAGAATCACATGTAATAGAACATAGAAAATTCATTCTAATGACATGCATGCTAATTGTGGGAAGCTAAAATAGAGATATGATCAGAAAAGTAGTAATACAAAGGAGATCACTTTTAATGCTTTTCAAAATGATTTTACTCATTTAATTCTGAATACTGTAACTCAGTTTTACAATTCTTGCTTACATATAAGTATGACACTAATTTTTGCCTAATGATATCTTCTGAGAAATTGAAAAACCATATTTTTGGGTTTTGTTACTATTTTAAAGGTAGGGAAAAGCAACCTCTTCATGGAATAATTAACAAGTTTTACAAATCACTGAAGTGAACACTTGTGAAACTCCTGAGTAATTTAGAATAATCTATTAAAAACATGCTTTTTGAAGAGAAAAAAAAAGAAATTTTTATATCCACATAGAATTATAGATATAGAAGTTAATATTTGGGATTTCAGTAAGAAAACACACTGAGCCCCTTTTATTTCATTTCCACCTGTAGAGTTTTAAGATAGCTTTCCCCACAAGTCCATGAGCAGCAAATAAAGCCCACCCTCCCGTGCTGAAGTGGCAGCTGAAGGTCTAAAGGGATTGGTCAGTAATAGTCAGGAGCCAAGCATGCTTTGTGCCAGAGAGAGCCTGCATGGCTAACAAAGCAATTAGTAGCCTTTCTCTGATGCGTAGTGGCATCTTCATGCTTTATCCAATTACTCAGAATATATCAGGTGTTATTTTACGCTGGTGTTATTTTATGAAGAATAAAAATCCTATACCGCAAGTCTAAAGGCTGTTCTCTCATCTACTCTCTCAAGTGTGGAGGACTGGCTGAGGCCATGAAAGTGAATTTGGTCTCCTTGCTTATTTTCAAATGTAGCTTGTGCCTGATTACAGGCAAAATAAATACACTCGTTTGCGGGTGACACGAATTTTGATATCTTTCAGGTGTAAAAATGTGCCATCCTTCCAAAAGCTCACTACTGAGAAATATTAGCTACATTGTCAGAGTTATATACAGGGTAACTAAGAGGAACAGATCAGATGCAAGGGGTGAGGGGAACCCACACTAAGTTTAAGGAGGAATGATGCCTATGTACTGATGGTCATATTTTGAAGTGGGAGAATTAAAAAGGGGAACTATAACTTTTAAATCTTATCCAAACCAGAGGCTTCTGCTGACATCAATAGAACTCTTACTCATTTTACTAGCAACGCAGTTGAACACATATATTAACACTAAAAGGTTATATTGTATTTTATTTGATTGAGAGGAAGAAGGGGAGGGCATTGCTTTGTGCCCATTAACAGTGTGATATCAAAATGGAAATGTATGTCTTCCGGGATGAAGTCTAATAAATAATTGAGAACCACTGTGATGCCTGACACTTTACTACCAAACACTTGTGTTTAATAGTTCTTTTTAGATCATCTAATAGAAGCAAGAAAATATACACCCAAAAATAGGCCTGTGCTCACCTAGATTTGAGATACAAATTCATCTTCTCCTTGCTAATTAAAGGGAAAGAACAAGGTATTTCTTACCTGCACATGATTTCGTGTGTGAGCAAGACTCGGCACATTTCTGGGTTCTTGTCTTGGCCTTCATACACTATGGCCTGTAAACAAAGGCACGAATTGAGCTAAAAATGGAACCAAGTAGCAAAGAACAAACTATCGCAATTGAGTACTTGATCATTTCACCATTGCTGGGGGCCAATTAGCTTTTGGGAGCCCAAGACTGTCTGTTTCAAGATACGTTGTTAAGGATCAACCCAAATCAAGTAGAGGACATATGTTCCTCTTTGTCCCGTCAACCACATTATTAAGACGCACACCTTTGGATCAGTGTGTGAGATGAACTTCTGTTGTCAAGACAACCACAATTCTCCTTTCAATTCAGAATAAAATAAATCTAATCAACGAGGAGGAAAAGCCTGGAAGGTTTAGCAGATTCGGATACTAGTGATTTAAAATATAGAAAAGCACGTGGATTTAATTTTTAAATATGTGTTTGTCACCTCATTTTACTATTTCTAATGCCAACGTTTAGTGTTCCAGAGATGAGTAGCAGAAAACAAGTGGGGGTATGGCTAATGAGTCCATTCACTAACTGTGTCTTCTTTGAGATGATTCATCAATCAGGGAAAATCCTTCCTTCCGCCTACAGGCTGAAAACATGTGCTCCCCAGGGTGTACACCCACCCAAACAGTAATATTTGCCGGCATATGCTGTGTGTGTGGGCTTAAGCCATAGAGTTATCTCCCTCAACTGAGAAGAATTACATCTGACTCCCAAAATTTAGATTCCAAATCACCTCATCAGCCAATACATCTTTGTCTGTTCTCAGTAATGTGCATACAAACATTTTGCTTAAAATCACCACGAAGTTTCCCTGAGAGAGCAGTTTCCTGGAAGATCTACGTGTGAATACCTGGGCCAAAGAAAAACACAGCTATTCGCAGAGCAATGCCTACATCGGGATACATATTAACTAACTTAACACTGTATCACTGCATAAGACTAACATGACACAACTTAAGATTATTAATAAAATTACTTTCACACATTTAGATAACTCTCAATTTCTTGGTGACAAAACTACTTGGTGACAAAACCAGAGACTATGCTTATTTAGGACATAGAGATGCTGCAGTAACTAACTGGGAGTTGCCTCTACCGTGCTTTGTTTATAAGCCTGGTACTTTCAGAACCTGTAAATGACGGAGACAGCTTAAGACACAGTGTGTGCAGACCCTAGAGCAGACTCTGGGTGTGATATCTAACTCCATTATAGAACAAAAATTGCAACAACAAATAAAAACATGATGAAAAGTACCTGTATAAGGAGAAAACCTTTCTCTATGACTGGCCCATCAAAACCATTTTTTTTTTTTTATGGTTAGCCCACCATAACTCTGTATTTTTTAATGTTTTATTTGGACACAATTTTAGCCTGACAGGAAAGTTGCAAGAATATAAAAAGAATTACAAGATAGTCTTTAACCAGATTCCTCAAATGTTTACACCTCACTAAATCTGCTTATTCTTTTCAATTTTTTTTCCTTAACCATGATAAGTAAACTGGAGACATACCCTAAATAGTTCAGCATGTATTTCCTTAAACCAAAGCATTCTCTTCAATAACCACAGGGCAATTATCTGAATCAGAAAATTAGCACCGATACAATACAACAATCTAATCTATAGACTTTATTGAGATTCACCAATTACAAAATAATGTCCCTCACAGTGAAAACAAAAAATACAATACCAATCATTGCATTCAGCTGCCATGTGTCCTTTAAAACAGACCATTCCTGAGTCTGTATTTCATGACATTGACATTGTTAAAGAATATAGGCCAGTTCTTTTGTCGAATACCTTCAGTTTGGGTTTGTCTGATGTTTCCTCAGATTTAGAGTAAAGTTATCCAATTCAAGTCCAGAATACCACAGATGTGATTCTGGGTTCTTCTCGGTGTATCAAATCACACTGTCGACTAGTTCTATTACTATAATGGCACAGTAAACGAAATGGTACGGTAAACTGACCATTTGGTTAAGGTGGTGCCTGCCATCCACCAGAGACCATCAGCCAGATTTCCCCACCGTGAAGTTACTACTTCATCTTATGTAATTCATAACTATCTTATAGAGAGCTAATCTAGATTATGGTAATATCATATTATGCCTAAAATGTTCATCCACTAGTTTTAGCACACACTGATGATTCTTTCCTGTACTCTTAAAAGACGTTTTCAAACGCCCAAGAAGCTGCTTTAGTCAAGAAAATGCATTAAGTAAATCAAAAACATTTTGAAAACCAAAAATTGTATCTGTCTGCTTTATTTATGGCAATCACTGCTAAAACCAAAGAAACACAGTAAATAACTGATTAGGTCTCATATAGGGTGCTAAAAAACTCTAATCGGATGCATTTTTGCGGCATCCTATTACCACTACATGTTTTGGTTGTTCTCTTAATATCCTGATAACCTCCATTTCAACTTCAGTTTTTTGTCATGCTAAACTAATACAAGTAACTTGGTAAATATACTCATAGATATTGCAGGGTTTTCCGTCCTGTTTAAAAAAAAAAAAAAGAAGTTTGGTTTCTTTAAGAGGAATGCATAACAGTTACATCAGACCTTCTCATTTTGATTCTTTCTAGATGAGACCAATATTATTTTTGTTGAGGCTGCTGGTTCCACTGAAATCAGTGATGATACCCAATGAAAGACACGCTGCAATACAGATATGCTCACAACTTCCCCAAACAGTAGATGATCCGTGCATGCCCAGAGAGCCTATGTTTTTATCTTTAGTGACTGAACATCATTTGTCGAAGGCCCAGGGCCTCTGTAATACATCTCTTTATCAAATGCCAAATTGCCACTTCACTTCTGGCAAGCAGACTCAAAATGGAGAATCTTTCTCTAAATCTAGCATATTAAAATAAAAGCATGAGTTTGCATTTGCTCAGAAATAGTTAAGCATTCTGGGGAGGGGTGGCAGCATGAAGTTTCTGCTGTCTCTCTTTCTGAGGCCTCAACAGAACAATATTTTTCAGCACATACATGCAGAGAAAGAAGTACTACTTCTGTGACTTCTGAAATAAAAGCAAGAGAAAGAGGGAGTTTCTTCACTCTCCTATGAAGTAGAATTAAAACCCTGTAAGTACAGTGAACTAGAAGCTTAGTAGAACAGAATCAGTTACCGAGTGGAACTCAGTCACAGGCAGATCTCCCTCTGACCTCACCTGTGCAGTATTTGTTACTGAAAAAGCTGCTTAAACACACACACACACACACACACACACACACACACACACACACACTCGTATGAAAGATATGGGCCAAGAAATCAACATTCTGATGAGATCCAAAATCGGAAAATATGATACATTTATTTTGCTGAATATCTCTGAAGCAGTGTGTCAACAAATAGACCTTTTAAAAATGCCACCAAGCTCTCCCTCCAGCTTACACATACAGCTGATAGCCACACATCAACTCTCTACCATCTACATTTCATACACCGTAAAGACGGTTCACAGTTCAGCAAACCCAGACTTTAAGCCTAAAAGGAAAGGGATCTTCTAATACCAACTTAGAAGTTTCTGCTTTTCTTACTAATTTAAATATGTGCCTCTGTGGGGTGTGAATCAAGCGCCCTGAGCCTGGATCAGCTGGGAGATCACAGAAGCATATAAACGGCATTGACTATTTTAAGTGAAACCATTTTAATAGACAGCTGGTTTAGGGCCCAGACAATGGGACACCAAGAAGAAGGCTTATTTTCATCCTCCACAGTAAATCATGCGTCTGCTCACTGAGAGGAAGGTAGTCTGCTGTGAGAATGACAAAGACAACAGTGATTTAAATAAATCAATGTGTTTATCAGGAGTACAGACCTGAGGCCTATTAACAGACATGGGCAGGATGGGGAGAGAAAGTATATAAAATATATTATTTAAATAAATGAATTGATGGCAAAGCAAGTTAGGGTTTTAACCTAAGAAATACAAAATGCAATTATCAAGTAGAAAACAATATTGACCGTAATCCTTCCAATGGCAAGTAAATCGCTGACAGTGACAGGAATACTTGTACAGGAAGAAAAGCGAAAGAATAAACAGCACTAACTTCATCTCAACTTTAAAAACCTGATGCAATTGATAAAGAAGTTGTCAAAAGTGACACATGTGGAGCGGATTTAGCTTTCTGATATACCAACCTCCCTTTTCTTAATGCCCTCTTCTAATAAGCAGAAAGAAAATAGCAAATTATTTTTAACACTCCATTAATTTTCAGGTTAAGGGTTTTTTCCAGAATAGTTTTTTTAGTGAACAAAATAGTTTTTTTAGTGAACAAAAAAGAGGAAAAAAAAATAGGAATCAAACTTTCATAGCCTTATGCAACAGCAGTACCAGAAGTTTTACTGCGAGAGAATAAAATGCCATCAATTTCAAATGCCCAATTATAAATTCACCTACATCATCTGTGAAAAGGAATAAATCAATCAGTAGAAAAAATCTGCCTCAGTTGCCACTATTTTAGATGACATTTGGTGAAGTGTGGTTCATCCTTGCTTTTCCAAAATATCACTGGGTCTTAAAAGTTAATTGAAACTTACTATGGATAAAGACCACACAGTGAAAGGAAAGATACACAGTGAACATGCAGCAGGATCACACTTCAATAGCATGCCAAAGGAAATACAGAGAATTGAGCACGGCTTTTCTTTGTTTACTTTTCTAATAGTTTTAACTCTTTGTGTTCTATGCCAAAACAAAGAGGGTGAGGAAAATACTTTTGACTTTGGTTCTTCAAATCCAAAAGGGTTTGAGGAGTAAATGTTTTCATTAAGAGTCTTTTTTGGTTTACAATCAAATAGTAGGAGACTTCTCATCATTAGAGGGAAGGAAGGAAGGAAGGAAGGAAGGAAGGAAGGAAGGAAGGAGAAAGAAAGAAAGAAAGAAAGAAAGAAAGAAAGAAAGAAAGAAAGAAAGAAAGAGGGGGAGGGAGGGAGAAAGAAAAGAAAAAAGGGAAAGAGAGGAAAAGAAAGAAAGAAAGAAAGAAAGAAAGAAAGAAAGAAAGAAAAGGAAAGAAAGAAA